TACTCCACCAATAAGTATTATATTATTTAACTAAAAAAATCTTGTTGTATGAAATTAGCTTATATTTCTTAAAGAATTTGATCATAGCTATTAGCTAGGGGGCGACGTAAATATCGAGAAAAACAAAAACTAGCTGCGGCCGTAACTAAGCTCAAATAGTTAAAAAGTCTTTGAGAAAAAGAGACACCAACCAAAAAAAATTGTCACTACTCAAATCATCAAACAACAAAGCTTTCTAATTAAACAAAAACGTACACTCTTCAACAAAATTCATGTAAAAGTAATCAGTGCTTTGGACAATTGACTCTGGAAAACTTGCTTTATTCTCATGATAATCGATGACTTATATAGTCTTACATCAACTATATCTCCTACATCTACTGCAAGCTAACTGAAACAGAACTCAAACTCCACAAGACTCGGTCTTAAGAAATAGACTCGGTCTTAAACAATAGATTCGGAACCAAAAAACTAACCAACAAGACAAATCTTTATTTCCGGTTTGCTTCTTTATTTCCGGTTTACTCCAACAAATCCTCCCTAAACTAAGCCCGGTTCACAGAGCTTAGTTTATCTGCTGCAGAACAAATCCCAAGCTTGCTTCTCAGACCTTCGAACACTTCTCGCGTCAGTGGCTTTGTGAAAATGTCAGCCACCTGCTTCTGAGTTTCACAATGATCCAATCGAATTACTCCATCCTTTACCAGCTCTCGTAGAAAATGAAAACGAACTCCAATGTGCTTACACCTTCCATGAAAGACAGGATTCTTCGAAAGCTTGATGGTAGAGGTGTTATCGCATAGAATTGATATACTTCCTCTAGCTTCATGTCCCAATTCTTCTAAAACTCTCGTGAACCAGACCACTTGACAAGCACAAACTGATGCTGCTACATACTCTGCTTCTGTGGTAGAGAGTGTGACAATAGGCTGCTTCTTCGACAACCAAGCTACTGCTCCTCCATCCATGATCAAAACATAGCCTGATGTACTCTTCCTACCTTCAGTATCTCCAGCAAAATCACTATCGGTATATACCAATAGTTCACCAATTCCTCTTCTCTCATACCAAATACCAAAATCCTTAGTACCCTTTAAGTACCGTAAGACTCTCTTAGCAGCTTGCAAATGTAAAACTGTTGGCTTCGACATAAATCTGCTTAGGAAACTTACAGTAAACTGCAGATCCGGTCTGGTCGTTGTGATGTACATAAGACTTCCAATAATTCGCTTGTAGTAAGTCTCATCTACTCTTTCTCCTCCCTCATCCATATCAAGTCTGCTGCCAGGCACTATTGGATTGAACACTTCATTACAGTTCTCCATTTCAAATCTCTTCAGGACTTCTAAGGCATACTTTGTCTGTGATACATGAATTCCTTGTGGCGTCTGCATCACCTCAATACCCAAGAAATATCTCATCTTGCCCAGATCAGTCATCTCAAACTCCTTCTGCATTGATTCCTTAAAGTCCCTTATCATTGAGATTGCATTTCCTGTGAAGATCAGATCATCCACATAAATACTCACAATAAGAATGTCACCTTGTTTGTTTGTCTTGAGGAATAGAGTCTCTTCATTCTGCGACTTATTGAATCCTTCTTTGACAAAGTATTCTTCAATCCTGCTGAACCATGCCCTTGGCGCTTGCTTTAATCCATATAGTGCTTTGTGGAGTTTGTAAACTTTTTCTTCTTCTCCTTCAGCAACGTATCCTTTTGGCTGTTGAATGTAGACATCCTCCAGCAAAACACCATATAGGAAAGCTGACTTCACATCTAATTGATAGATATCCCATCCCTTTTGTGCAGCTGTAGCTATTATGGTTCTGATTGTATCCATTCTAGCAACAGGAGCATATACCTCTGTGTAGTCGATACCATGCTCTTGAGAGTACCCTTTAGCTACCAACCGCGCTTTGTATTTGTTCACCTCTCCATGTTCATTCAGCTTGGTTTTGTAAATCCATTTCACTCCTATACACTTAGCGTTTCTTGGCAAAACCATCAGCTCCCAAGTTTCATTCTTGATGATCGATTTTATCTCTTCATCCATAGCTTCTCTCCACTTTAAACTTTTCTCTGCTTCTTCAAAAGTAGATGGATCCTCAATGTTTATCTCAACCATATTCACCTCATCTTCTTCTTCTTCTTCTCCTATGACATAATCATTGAGATATTGTGGAGGTCTAGTCGTCCGTACCTCTCTAGCTACAGTAGGGTGTTGAGGCTGAACTGCTTCTTCTGTTTCTTCATTTTGTTCTGTCTGAGCATTTCCTTCTCCATCAGACTCTCCTCCACTACTTCCTTCAGTTTCACTTTCCTCCCAAATCGCATCATCATCATTCCAAGTCAGTTCAGTACTGACTTGCTCTTCTTCCCAATTCCAGCCTTTTGTTTCCTCAAAAACCACATCTTTGCTTATCATGATCTTCTTTGTACTTGGATTGTACATCCTATATCCTTTGGATTCTTCAGAGAAACCAACAAATACCCCAACTGTACTCTTATCGTCAAGCTTTCCTCTTTTTTCATCTTGAATATGAACATGAGCAAGACTTCCCCACACACGGAAGTGTTCAACATTTGGCTTCACCCCACTCCACGCCTCTTGTGGTGTCATATTCCTGACAGAAATTGTGGGACATCTGTTGAGGACATAGATCGTCCACATCACTGCATCTGGCCAGAACGTTTTTGGCATCTTTCTTGCTGAAAACATAGATCTCACCATGTTCATGATTGTGCGATTCTTCCTCTCTGCAATTCCATTCTGCTGTGGAGTGTATGCGGTGGTTAATTGCCTTCGAATTCCCTGCTCTTTACAGAAGTCTGAGAATTCATTTGAGGTGTATTCTCCTCCCCGATCAGTTCTCAAGCATTTTATCTTCTTTCCTGTTTCAATCTCCACTCTGCTCTTGAACAGTTTGAAGTGACTGAATGCTTCTGATTTCTCCTTTAGGAGATACACCCATGCTTTCCTGCTATAATCATCAATGAAACACAACACATACTTCTTTCCACTAGCAGATATTGGATTTATAGGACCACATATATCAGAATGCACCAGCTCAAGTACTTCCTTCGCTCTCCAAGTACTTTTCTTTGGAATGGCTTTTCTAGGTTGCTTACCCACTAGACAGTCTGAGCATGTGAAATTCTGTGAATGTAAAATGGGAAGACCACGTACCATGCCTTTTCTTTGTAGAGTTTGCATTCCTCGGTGACTCAAGTGCCCATACCGCTCATGCCATAACCTTGCTTCATCTTCTGAGGTTGTTTGGAGGCATCTTTGCTCGCTTGATCTCTCTTCGTCTCTGGATTGATCAAACAGCATAAACATCCGGTTTGCCCTCATCTTGCTTTCTGCTATCAGCCCTTTCTCATCATGGTAGATCTTGCACATTCCCTTTTGTATGAGTATTGTCAGCCTCTTCTCTTGAAGTTGACCAATGCTCAAGAGATTGTTTTTGAGTTCAGGCACGTAGTAAACTTCACTGATGTTGTACGTTATGCCATTCAGCACCAGCTTCACATTTCCTTTACCAACAACCTCCATTCTTCTGTTGTTTCCAAGCTTGACTGAATGTTTGAAATTTTCGTCGAGACCCGAAAACAAGCTTTTGTCTCCACTCATGTGGTTTGAGCAGCCAGAATCTAAAAACCAAGCTCTTCGTCTTAAGCTTTCTTGTTCTCCGGTGCAGGACATCATTAACTGCTCAACATCTTCTTCAGTATCACTCCAAGACATCAGCATCTCCTCAACCTCTTCTTCTGTCTCACGCACATCTTCTTCAATATATGCCATTAACAACATTTCTTCATTCTCTCCAAGATCTGCATAGTTTGCTTCATCCCACTTTGGACATTCATTTTGGAAATGTCCAAGACGATGACACTTGTAGCACTCCACTGTGCTTTTGTTGAAGGAGGACCTGCCACGACCTCGTCCTCTTCCTCTTCCGTGGACACCTCTCCCTCTTCCTTGTGTCACGTTCAGCACTTGTTCATCACCTCTTTCATGTTTTTTGAATTTCTGTTCATGAACCGCTAACGAACTCTGCAACTCATCAAGTGACATGCTCTCAATGTCCTTTGATTCTTCAATCGACACCACCACATACGTGAACTTTTCACTCAACGTTCTGAGAATCTTCTCCACCACCTTTGAATCGCCCATCACTTCTCCATTGCTTCTCATCTGATTTGTGATGGCCAACACTCGGGTGAAATACTCTTCTATCTTCTCAGATTCCTTCATTTCGAGCACTTCGAAATCTCTTCTTAACTTCTGCAACAGCGACTTCTTCACTCGATCACTTCCCCCAAATTTCCTCTTCATCGAATCCCAAATCACTTTGGAAGTTCTTCTGTCCAGGATCTGTTCAAACGTTACCCTATCGATTGACTGATAGAGATAGTGTTTGACTTTGTGGTCGTTGGTTTTGGCGTTGTCGAGCTGCGCTCTCTGCTCTGTCGTGAGGACTGTCGTGTTTGGTGGCTCATCGAAACCGACCTCAATCAGGCTCCACAATCCTCGGGCTCGGAAGAAGTTCTCCATAACTTCACTCCAGTGATCCCAATGGCCATCAAATTGAGGCAATTTCATCTTATCGTCTCCCATCTCTCAATTTGGTTTGAAGCTGCGGCTTCTCTCTCGTTTTCTAGGTCAGAATTTGCGAGCTCTGATACCAATTTGTAAAAGTAATCAGTGCTTTGGACAATTGACTCTGGAAAACTTGCTTTATTCTCATGATAATCGATGACTTATATAGTCTTACATCAACTATATCTCCTACATCTACTGCAAGCTAACTGAAACAGAACTCAAACTCCACAAGACTCGGTCTTAAGAAATAGACTCGGTCTTAAACAATAGATTCGGAACCAAAAAACTAACCAACAAGACAAATCTTTATTTCCGGTTTGCTTCTTTATTTCCGGTTTACTCCAACAATTCACACATCTTCCTCTCTCTCCTGCGCTTTACTCAGGTTTTCTCCGCTCGCTTCTTCATACTCAGAATTGATTCCCCCTATCTCTTTTTGTTTCGATTCTTCTTACAGATCGATCCATACCCTTTTAGATTCCATATCTTTTAATTGATTTCCCTTATAGAAAACATTTTAATTTCATCTACCGATCTTCATCGTCGACCATAACAATTCAATTTTTTTTTGTGCAATTTGGTTTTAGATTTTTGAGTTGCTTTCGATATTTGGCTCTGGCTAGTGTTTAAAATTGGTATCTTTTGGGTTACATGAAATTGCGGGAAAATTCAGTTATTTGTTATATATCCTACATGCGAACTTGTATTCAGTAGTTAAATCTATAAGCATAATAAGATTTTGGTTATTTCAGGTTCACATTACTTGCTCATTTGGAGGTTTTTCTGAGGTTCTGCCTCTTCAAAGCAACGATGGTATCGGCGAACAGAGAAATGGCTGTCTACTGTTTCGACACTTTGGTCTCTCACTACAACAATGAAGAGACTCCACCACCTGCCTTTCAAGAGGCCAATCAGTAAGTTCTTTTCTTGGGTATGTTATGACATGCAAGGTCTGATCTCTCTCAAAGTATTCGTCTTTTTTTTTTAATTCTCTTTGTTTGGAAATTGGATAGAGTACTAATGAACGCACGATCTGTTCTTAAATACTAAATCAATTTTTATGGTCCCAAGTTGTTCTTGAAATTGTTATGAGTAGTCACTTAGAGTCTGTGAAACTGTTGTGAGGATATTGTTTCCACGATTGTTTCACAATCTGCCTTTATTCAGAGACTGTGATGTGCAAATCCTTGCAAACCTTGCATGTTTTATCTTAGTGATGCTAGAAACTAATTTTTTTTTGTTTTCTGGGTCTATGTGTTGAATATATGAATGTGTGATATATAATCTGAAACGCATGGTCCATTATTTACTAATGGTCCAGTCTTTTTTTTTTTGTAGTCCATTGTTTGTTACCTGGAAGAAAATAGTGAATGGTGGAGAGCCTCGATTGCGTGGATGTATTGGTACACTGGAAGCACGCCGCTTGATCAGTGGCTTCAAGGATTATGCCTTGACTAGGTACTTACTCGTCCTCACATAGTTTCATTTTCTGCTTATGTCATATGTTTTCCTTGGCCATATTCATGATGTGCTTTCGTCTGTTTTGCCTTTAAAAGAGCTTTGCTTTTTTCATGGTTGAAATTGTTCTGCCTCAACTTTGCTTGTCGTATTTCTGTGTTCTTAAGTCTTTGCTATTATCTATTAACAACTTTGTTGAATTTGTCTTTTTCTGTCTGCTTTGCTTCTCTTCTTGCTCATTTTCTCTTGTTGTAATGTACTTCTGTTGCTTGGTACTAAGAGCGGTTTAAGATAGACTATAGATGGATAACCATACAATGATAAACAACAAAGTAATGGATAGGTACACATGTACTTTTACATATGTAAATAGGCAGTTCTTTGTCTAGTTAATCAAACAGACATAAATGGCATTCCCTGTATTGAGCTAGAAGATTTCATATCAAGTATCAGGTTTTTCAGCTGTTTTTTGTACTGAGTTTGGTGTGTAATTTATCCTTTTTGTTGCAACACAAATCTGCTGCAGCTGATTAAACTGTTTTGTTATATCATTTTTCGAAACATTGTGTATATGGTGAGCATGAGTAGATATAGTAATACAGTGAGAGCTAATTAGGCTCCAACTTGCTGTAAAGGAACTGAGTATTCAGTTTTGGCAAGCATAGGCTTGAAACCACAAATGAAGCACTTATGTGCAGGTGTATTTTGTGCAGAGTGAGCCTCTATTCATTAGCATTTCCCATAGCTGATCTGCCTTTTATTTCATGTGGTTGGTCGTAAATGCTTGTGGTATCCCTCTTTCTCTTTTTTGTCCGTTTTATAAACGACACTAGTTTTCTTATTTGAAATTGCAGTGCCTTAAGGGATCGTAGGTTCCCACCTATACAGGCCAAAGAATTGCCATCTCTGCAATGTACTGTGTCTGTCTTGACTGATTATGAAGATGCAGAAGATTACCTTGATTGGGAGGTATTCTCTCTTCACTCTTTTTTTTTACAACATGTAAATCTTGCGAATTAAGAATATAGGTGCCATCAAGAAGTGTTGTCCAATAAACCTTATGTTGTCCTTTCCCTCATATTATTTTCCCACTCAGTTAACTGCTCTGCTTTGCTAAACTCATGACATTTTAATTTAGAGGCACCAAGTAGATTTAGTTTTTATCGGATTCTTCTTGTTTGTGGTTTGTCTTCTACATCTTCCCCGTTGGTGATTTTTTTTTTCGTGATATCATTCTAAAGGTCGGTAAGCATGGTATAATCATTGAGTTTACTGAACCTGAGACTAATACAAAGCGAAGTGCCACATATTTGCCTGAGGTGCCAGCTCATGAAGGTACCATTTTGATACATTAATTTAAGTACATGAAGCTATTTGCGGTGTTGATACACCGATTACTTATTTAATTCTCAGGCTGGACAAAGATAGAGGCAATCGATTCGCTGGTGCGTAAAGCAGGATACAATGGTGTAATAACAGAAGCAGTGCGTAGGCGAATCAATCTAACGCGTTACCAGAGTACATTATTCAGCATGCATTATAGCGAATACCTTTCATATGTGAAGGCGACAAGGGGTGTTGGCCCGGGTATTAATGGGATCAACAAGCCCTCCTTTGCCTGACTTGCACCAAAAAACCGCTGCAAATGGATGCCATTGATTATGTTTGGCTACCTCCTAATTTATCCTCTATCTATGATTCCAAAATTGTCTGGCTCTCATAAAAGAAACGAGACTTCGACTTGGCTGTTTCTCAATTGTAACATTAATTAAATCACTTTCATCCCTGTCTCACTTTGTTCCTCACTTCCTCATAATTAGACTCGATGTTAAAAGGTCCACAAAATAAACTTGAACTCGAGTTGACTACGTTGAAATCAACCTCAACCTAGTACTCCAGTAACACCGAAAAATGAGTCTCTATGTTGTTAAAAGTCAACTCAAAGTGAGTGTAATTCAATGAAGTCAACTCAAAGTTGGAGGTTGTTTTAGTAATTAAAGGAGTACAAGCTAATTTTGTAAGAATTTTCAAAATGTGGGGGTTATTGAAATTTTCGCATATTAAAATTAAGTGCTCTGACGAAAAAAAATAATAATAATTAAAATTAAGTGCTCTTTGGACGGAACCGTATCGTTCGTACCAATCAACCTTATTTTAATCTCCCACCTGATTTGAGCTGTTTCTCTTTTTCGAACTCTCCGTCACTTTCATTTCCTCCTTTGAATCTTCTGAGAAAGCTACAGATCTCTGGATTCGAAAAAGCTTGAGCTGTGCTAATGGCGGAGGAGAAATGGGTGATGATGGTGACGGCACAGACGCCGACGAATATCGCCGTGATTAAGTATTGGGGAAAGAGAGATGAGGTTCGGATTCTCCCCATTAACGATAGCATTAGCGTCACGCTTGATCCTGATCACCTCTGTACTCTCACCACCGTCTCTGTTAGTCCTTCCTTTGATCGAGATCGAATGTGGCTCAATGGCAAGGTACTTTTGCTCTTCATTTCTCATATTGAAATCGTCTCTTAAGCTTAGATTCGTATGAATTGAATTATGAAACGGACTTGGATTAGGTAATGTATTGTTGGGATTTATAAGAATCTGAGTGTTGTTGGTTTTTGTTGATGGTGTTTTTTTGGTTTCATGCTAGTATAGGAAATCTCACTTTCTGGAAGTAGGTACCAGAATTGCTTGAGGGAGATACGAAGTCGTGCTGATGATCTTGAAGATAAAGAAAAGGGTATCAAGATTGAGAAGAAGGATTGGCAGAAATTGCATCTGCACATTGCTTCTCATAACAATTTCCCTACTGCTGCTGGCTTAGCATCTTCAGCTGCTGGTTTTGCTTGCTTAGGTATTTTTCTTTTTCTCTCCGTTTTCTTTGTCACATGGTATGTTTCTGGATACTTGAATATCGCTTAAAGGTAGGACTAGACAGTACATTCATGAAAATGTAGGTGCTTTTTGTTTGTGGGATATCTGAACTTTATTACACCATCTGGTTGATCTTGTTTAGCTCTGGATAATACACAATCTTTCCCTTTTTTATTATGTAAGTGGTAACACATCAATAGAAGAGAAAACAAGGGAGACCAGAGAGAGCTACAATATAGTTTCATGAACAACCAAATGGTTACATGGCTTTCTTCTCTTTATCCCTCATCTTCCTTCTAGATTTTCATCTTTTCTGCATAATTCAGCTTATAATTGCTAAACTTCAATGACATTGATCCTGTCTCTTTCCTCCAGTGATGAATGGTTTTCTAGATTCCCTAAGTCGATCTTTCTTTTGGAAACTGCTCAATGTATTATATAACAGTTGCTTTTGGGTACAGTTTTTGCTCTTGCCAAGTTGATGAATGTAAATGAAGATCCAAGCCAACTTTCTGCTATAGCAAGGTATGACTTACGTTACCTGACTCGCATTTTCACCCTTAATGATCTTTTTTGTATCTTCCATGTTAACTATACGATTTACTATAATCCATTTTTTACAGTTACTTTTAAATATGCATCCGTTTGCTCTGTGCTTTTAATTGAATTATGTGTAGTTAGACGTTCCTCTATAAACTAAGTGGTACCAGTATATATGATTATAATGTCATTTCTTCATGTAGGCAAGGTTCAGGAAGTGCTTGCCGTAGTTTATTTGGGGGATTTGTCAAGTGGAACATGGGAAACAAAGAAGATGGGAGTGACAGTGTTGCAGTTCAACTGGTAGATGATAAGCATTGGGATGATCTTGTTATCATTATTGCTGTGGTATGGATCTTAAGTACTTTTACTCTAGTGCATTTTTAGATTCATGTGCAGTATCTATCCTATTCTTCATCTTCTTATGTCGGTCTCTAATAACTTTTTGTTACACTCTCTTGTCTAATGACATGAATGAAGGTGTGTTATCTGGATAAGATATTTCTGCTGATTTTTTTGAATAATATGATCTGAACTCTGTGATAATTCTATGTTTTCTTATCATTTCCATCATAGCCTGCAAAAGCTTATTCGTTCATTTGGTTTTTTGTTCACCTTTTTTCAACTCATACTAGCTTGTGTTACATGCAGGTTAGTTCACGAGAGAAGGAAACAAGCAGCACCTCGGGAATGCGTGAGAGTGTTGAGACAAGTTTGCTTTTACAGCATAGAGCAAAGGTATGTATGATTGATAACAGTCTGTATCACCTAAAATAACCTTTGTTGGGTTCCTAAACAAAGAATATGAATGTTTTTTGGTTGTGCTTGCTTAACTTCAAAAATGAAAATAATCCCCTCAACTTCATGGTCTAATTTCTCCTTAGGAAGTTGTCCCAGTACGGATTTTGCAAATGGAAGAAGCTATAAAGAATCGAGATTTTACATCTTTTACAAAATTGACGTGTTCAGACAGTAATCAGTTTCATGCTGTTTGTATGGATACATCTCCACCCATATTCTACATGAATGACACCTCCCACAGGTATCTCTTTCTCTTCTTTTGTTTCTTTTGGCAGTCATTTTCAGCTTTTAGCTATCAGTGATGTGGTACTGATCGCAATCCACTAACTAATGATGCCAGGATAATCAGCTTAGTTGAAAAGTGGAACCGTTCTGCCGGTACACCAGAGGTATGTATGCTTGCTTACTCCATATATACCTCACAAGCAAGCATTGAATTTCAAATAGATTTCGAGACTAGGGTGTTGGACAAGTCTTCTGATCTTAATCTCATTGTCCTGGACAGATTGCTTATACATTTGATGCTGGCCCAAATGCAGTTCTGATTGCAAGAAACAGGAAAGTAGCAGTTGAATTGATGCAGGGGCTGCTCTACTGCTTCCCTCCGAAGCCTGACACAGACATGAAGAGGTGAGATAGGAATTGTGATTGATTAAGTGATTAAATCCCGGACTAATAAAAATGGTGTTTCGCTACTTTGTATAGTTATGTACTGGGTGATACATCGATTGTAAAAGAGGCAGGCTTGGAAGGAGAGCTCCCACAAGGAATTAAAGACAAGATTGGAAATCAGGATCAAAAAGGTGAAGTGAGTTATTTTATATGCAGCAGACCTGGAAGAGGTCCTGTGGTGCTTCAAGACCAAACTCAAGCCCTTCTCCATCCTCAAACTGGCCTCCCCAAATAACCATTTATATGTCTTGTTATTACTGCAACTCTGAGATTTGCAACAGCTTGTCTTTTGCTTTGCCACCTCTTACTCTTGTCCTAAGAGAGCACTCATCTGAATCTTTCTCTAATTATTTGTGTTTACATACAATTTTCTTCTGCATCGGGTGCATCTAAATGCCATACGTAGATGCAAAACTCAATATTGCAAACGAATTAAGATCTTGATGCTAAATCTGAATGTATCATCCAGAAACAAAAAAAGATCGGACCACCACTAATAATACAATATCAGGTCAATTTTCACAATGCCTCTCAAGCAAAAACCTACTAAACGCAACTATTATTCTGTTCTATGACCAAAGCAGTGTCACAACAACAAACAGCATCAAAGCGAGACCAAGACATATCCCAACCAGTGCGCCAAAAGCCTGTCAAAGCAATGCATCCACAGGTTAATCACTCATCATCATCATCATCTATATATGTATTACTCAGAGCAATTTTGGGTGCCTCACTTTTCCCTGACTTTCAAACTTGCATTTTACTGTAAACCATGACAATCCTCGATCAACAATAGGTGCAAGTGCCACTGCCCTGTATCCATCAACATTCTTCATGAGTAACAACATCATAACAAGATAAGGTCGGCAATAATCACAACTAGGAAATGCAAGTGCAAATGCGACTTCCCAGCATCCATCTACTATGTTATAACTGGTTTTGAACCACTTTCACTAACAAAACAGATTATCTACTAATAATATGACCACTTCTCCTTAGCATTACCTTGTCACCTAAGACCTAAACATGTTACACGTAAACGAGAACAAACTGATTGTTATTTGGAAATAATATAGAGGATACATTGTTATTGATTATTCTTGTTCACTGAATATGAAAGGATTTGCATTGTCTACTAGACGCCAAAGGATCAGGTTGAAGGTACCATTTTCATCACCACATGCATCTTAAAATCGATAGACTAATATTTACAAATATTAGTTACTTATCTCTTCTAGACCTACACATGAAAAGGTTGAAGTACTAGGCACTTTTTCAGGATCTACTAATACAAATTTTTTTACACTTGTGAACATTGCAAATCAAATGATACTTTGATTATTGATGCTAAAACAATGATGCGATAGTCTGCACATCTATCATGATGAGACAATATGAAAGGTCTTAATTCCTACAAGGCTACAACATCATCATGAACTGGCAGGAAGCAGTTAAAGAGCTTCCTCCAAGGCATTTCAGACCCATGACACTATAATGAGAGCATGCTGATGTTCTTAAGCTATAGGGAACTAACTGAGTAAGAAACTTATATTAGCTACATACCCTCCTATTCTGATGAGCTTAGTAACTTGGCTTCCAGCCCAGACCATTGCCATAACTTTAAGAAATCTGCATGCAAGACGAATCTTTCACATCCCTTTAATGCTAGGAAATGCTGAAAAACATTCCATACCTCTCAGCCGCAGCAAGATAACCCATTTTTCCCGGTGCTGGGGCCACATAAAACCTATACACATATAGATAATCGTCACTGTTGTGGCTCAAGTATGTTATGATGGAGAACAATGTTCTTGTAGCTTTACACAGAGCATATACGGTCAAAATTCTATTCTACTCACCACACCAAGAGGAAAGCTTTGGAATAATAGACCGTATTAAGTATCCCATAGGACAGTATTCCAGAGACTCCATATCTCTTCAATTTCTTGAGAAGCCTGCAATTTTGGTAGCATATCAAGGCAGGCAAAATCATGAAATGGAAAAAATATTGCTAATGTTAAAAATCATATAAATCCCCCAAATCCTTCCTTGCAATGCAGATTTCAAGCATATTGAACATAAATGATCTTAGCTGATATTTGGACAGACCATATCCGAAATACAAATGACATATTCATGATCACCAAAGAAGTGGAAAACCAAGTAGCTCAGGCAAAAATTTGAACCAAAACCTTCCACATAAACAAGAGGCAGAAAACATGTTTGAAATTGATTATTGAAAGAAGAGATAACATAATCCGTAATATTGGTTCCTCTCTTGCTTCTTAAACTAAACATACGAAAAAAACAAGTAGTAAAATCCATATTCTAACTCACACAAGCACCACCATAGAGGCATAGAAAAAGTATACCGAAAGAAAGATTTTAGTATATCACATACTTTTCTGAAACGAACGGGTTTCTCCTGCTTATCCTATTCTTATCCAACATTTCTCCTAGAAAGAAGAGAAAACAGTGTAAAAACTAAACTTAATAACAAACATGGTAAGGAAGAAGATGCATAAAATGTTGAAAGGTTCCACCTTTAAAATGTCAATACATGAATAAGTACCTTCATCATAGGAAGGCTTAGACTCTGCATCAGATTTATTAGTAGCCTAAGTACAAGTAAAGAGGTAAGACACAAGTATTCATAGCAATTCTCAATCAAAGCAACCATCAAGTGGAGGAATTTAAGAAGACCAACATTGTGATTGTGACTAAAGGAGGTAACCAGCCGGTGACTATGGTGGACTACGGAGAAGCTATATGGTAGCAGAGATTGACCATTGGCGGGGATGCTGAAAGTACGGAGAGAACACTTGTGGAAACAGAGCAGCAAGATTAGTAATTTAGCTCAAAAATCAGGGTTTCGTGAGAGCCAGAGACAAAAAGAGTACCGGCGGGAGAGAAAGAGTTAAACGGTGGACGCCGGCGACACTCATCCCGGCTGTCAGACTCACACTTATCGTCGGAGTGGATTTTTCGCAACTGGTTTAATTTTACAAAAATTAAAAGTAAAAGTATTGAACCGGAATCTTTAAACCGAACATGAACCGGAATCTTTAAACCGAGTCCTATATATCCTTTTCAACTTCCAAGACTCTCTTCACATTCTCTCAAACTTATTTTCGTTTTCCAGAGAAATTATTGACAAACAGAGAAGGAAGCAAGAAGACTAAAGAAGATGATGATGGAAGAACAACTTCAAGAGCGTAACCACAATCTGAGCCTCGAAGACATTGATCTATCTCTCCTCCGTCTCACTTCACCACGTGACTACTATTCTCCTTCATCATCCTTGTTCTCCGCCGAGGAAATCACCCCTCCGTTGAAACGCGCCTCCCCTGTTTCCGACGAATCCGATCTCCCCAAACGCAGGAAAATCTCCCCTCAAAACCCAATCTTTGTCACCTCTCCTCGTCTCTTCATTTCCCCGGAAACACAAACTTCCTCTGTTCATGACCCGACCCGGTACACGAATCTCACTAGCTCTGTTTCGGAAGAGCAAGAAACGACGCCGTCTGATCCTGATACAGAGGTTTCTTATGTAACTATTAAGCGTTTCTCTAATCTTTGTTTTCACTTCTTGTTTTGAACTACTAATGAAGAATCTTGAATTGGTTTTGGTGAAACAGACGATGAAGATGGTTAACAATTGCGTTGAGAAGATGAAACGTGGAGAGACTAACTATGCTTATGAGGTTTGATGTTATTCTCTAATGATTCTGCATTTGTTCTTTTAGTCTTAAAGGTCGCAAGTACTGGTTTTGATAAGTTTACGGTGAAATAGCAGAAGGAGCAAGAGGAAGTGGAAGAAGAAGAAGAATGTGGAGGAGGGATGAGGATAGAGAGATCTGGAGATGGGTTTGTAATTAGATTGAAGTGTAAATGCAGACAAGCTTTTAGGGTTCTTTTCTCTGATGATCATCTCTACTTTAAGCCTCTCTAAGCTTTCACACATTTGTGGTGTGATTTAGTATCTGCTTCTCTCTCATTTGTTGCAACGTTTTACTTGTTTTCTTTTCTTTTGGTTGGACTATTACGGAGACTTTGTTGATAGTGTAGGAAGTAACCAAAAGTAAGATCTACAATCTGTGCAATGAAAATGATGTGACTAATAATAATAATAAGAAGAGCAAGAACTAATTTTTGTTGTATAAAAAGATATGCAAAAAGTTGCAACTTTTTAGAGTCAAAAGTCAAAACTTTTAATCTTGCTTATAAAAAACTCCTCTGAAAAGTAGAAGCGGTCATTTCATGGTTTCATATATTAACTTTACAGCCAAAGCTAATAAAAATTTAAGTTTCTACCATTTATTAAATAAAAGGATACTAGTATAACCAAATAATTTCTTAAAAATGTCTCGTGCAGGGAGGGCATCAAGTGTCAACCTCAGCAGAGTTGATCATTGTAACCTGATTCTCTGCCAAATCAATGTTTGACTTCTTTGATTTTGTTTTTCTAGCTCATTCCCATTATTTAACTTGACTAGTCAAGAATTGAAACACTTGAAGAGTTTTCTTGGGAAAACGGAATGCCTTGAACTGTTGCAAGTGAATGTTAAAGAAGTTGTGGTGGATGATGACATAATTATACTGAAAACCAAAAAGGAGTTAATGATGCTTCTTGGCACTTTGGTTTCACCCAAGTGCCAGATCAAAGTCACATAAAATGTATCAGGAGTTATAGTAGATTTCATTATTTATTTTTTGACCTTTGTGAATTTTCTCCAAAGACGATTTGACTTATCTTTTTTGTCTCTCTTCTTCTCTGCTTTAGGAGTCTCTCGTACTAATCATCATATTCATATCATTCGATGAATCTCTTTTGGAATCCTTTTGTTTCTTTTTGGTTTTCTAATTACTTATTTATTTAGTCATTCAGTTTCAAGTTTGATAATTCTAAATAATTTATGAGAAATGAAAATTTATTAGGAGTGTTATTGGTTCCTAATTTATATAGAATTTTGCTGAATTTAATAAAATTATAAAAAGTAAACAAATGAAAGATTCTAAAATATTGCTAGAGAGTTTTCTAGAATATTGTTGATTAGTGTTTCATAATCTTGTTAAGTTTTCTAAACAATCTCTCTATTTTAATGACTTTATTTATTTTGTGAAGTAAAGTGTAAAAAGTCATAAACCAATAACATAATAATTTAATTCATTAACAATCATAGATTCTTTTGTTACAATTGAATAACACAAAACTTTTAATGACTTTATAAAAGTATGAATCCAATAACTCCAGATTGATGAACTTTAGATTACTTTTTACAAATCTTAAATTAATAACACCAAACTACAACAAACTTTTAAAAAATTTTGATTGAATAACAATAGATTCTATATAACATGTAAAGTCACTAAAACTCTATTTAAATCACAAACCAATAACACCCCCTTAGTTTTTAGATTAATTCAACTACAGTAAAAAAAAAAGTCTCGGTTGTGTGTACAAGAGAGAAAGAACACGGATTTATTTGGTACACACTCTGATGCTATATTCCTTTTTGATTTAATACAAGAAGAATTGGTAAAAATTGGGAAACGACTATTTCTTTTGACGTTTAAATTAGGAAAGTAGACAGTAAAAACCCTATTTTGACTTACCTACGGGAAGTATTCATATTTAGTAGATTTGAGGCTAGTATATAGTAAATAATTGATTGGCGGTGCCTAGCACATTAAAGAACCGTATATATGCATCTTATTGTGTTATGTTAACTTTTCTTTTTCGTTCTATGATATGTTAATTTTGATTCCCAAGTTGTAGAGATAAGGCAATTAGGACTTATATATATACTCCTCTTATGAGATGAATATACAAACTAACTTTTTGCAAAGTAACCTTTTGTCTAGTAGCTTTGTTAAGAAGAAGACACGAAAAGAAGTTAAGAACAAAAACAAGTTTTGGTGTGGTAGAGAAACAATATGTATCATGTGGGTATAATATATTGTGTTGGAATATTCGGTATATTTGTGACCGTATTCATCTTACTTTGGTTATGGAATTGCTGTGTCGCCGCCGATCGAATACGGGTTACGCCCAGTTCTAATGAGTAACCTATTATCATGTATCCGTTGTTTTTCTACTTTAATGAATTGTATCTCTATTTTATAAACTAGATTTTGTACCCGCGCGTTGCGCGAGATTTTAATTTTAAAATTTCTTATATTGATATAAATTTTGAGCATAAAAAATATAATCTTTAAAATTTAAAAGATAATTTTTTGAGCATAAATATAATAATTCAAATTTTAAAAGATAAATTTATATAAACACTAAACTTATTTTACGAAACGATATATAACATATATATTATCGACGATAATGTTTCTTTGACAAATAAATAATTTGATATATATCACGTGCTAACAAAAATCACTTAAAAAATTCGGAGAAAGAATAAACGGTATCAACACTCTAAAAGAGTTTATTTCTTATTCATATTCCATGAAGGTATTACTAAAAGTTTTGATATTAATTATCGATTGTTGACCTAATTGTAGATATTATTTATGATTAAATGTTGATACGAACATAACATTATTCCATATAAAATGTGAATTTACCGAGTTTCATGAACATTATTTAGTGTAAAGGTACATCTATAATACCATGTTGCTAGAACCGGTTTAGCGAGTTTGATTTACTCATCAAAGCTAGTGCAACAATAAGAGAATTTCCGACTAAGTCATCAATGTGCCTATCTTATTTTACTTTCCATGATTTTATGACCAAACGGTTAAACCTAACTTTGAATCTAATAATTTGTTTAATAATGTATGTCATGTATTTTCTAAGAACTCATTCGTTTCACACAATGAATGAGATCTCAAAGATACATTAGTCATGTGCATTATCTTTTTAAATTTTAGAAATTTATTTTCAAACTCTTTTAACTACCAGTTCTTTCGTCATCTTCTATGATGCAATCGTTGCCTCTCGACATCTACTTTCTTTTTACCTTCTATTGACTCACACATAATATATATTGGACTATGAATTGATTTTCAAGACATATCATAACTATCTTTTCAATATTTCATTAATGAAATATCAAACTTAGTTTTTTTTATTCTGTTATAAAGTTGTACTTCCACTTGAGAATATGCTACACAAATTACATATCACTTTTTTTCAATGGCTTACATTCATTTTTAATATATTTTATCGTAAAACTCATAAATATTGTGATCACTGATTATTTATTTTTTAAAAGATGGATGATAAGGTTTTAAAATTTTCAAGATTTGTTTTTTATAATTTCACAAGATAAAGTTTGCATCTTACAATATTTTCTTCTTAAATTATAAATTTAAGTTGAGTTTAGTAATTTTTATTTTTTTAAAGTAAAAATTTAATAATAACTAAAAATATGTAGTATATTGTTCTTCAAAACTAATATTTCACTTTGAATTTTATTTTCTTGTTTAAAGTTTCACATAGAGAATTACATAAATTTACTTCCATTCTAAAACTCATTAACACATTTAAAATTTTGAATACTGACCATATTTAATTTTTATCATTTAAAAGTTGAATTATATTAGTCTTACTTATAAAATTTTTATAGTATTATTTTATTATTTTAACATTTCATTTATTTTACATAATTCGTTTTTTATTTATTATTTCTATTAATTACAAGGAAATGCATTAAATGGATGTTTTAAATTTATTTTAATTAAATTAAATATTATTACTTAGGTTGATGCTTAGGTGGACACTCTATATGGAGAGAAGACTCTCTAATTATATATATATATATATAGATTTTAGTAGAATTAAATCACGTTTTAAACCACACCAGTTGAACATAAACAAATCCACTTAACGCATAAAATAACATGGTAGGCAACCATTAATAGTTTTATTCTCTCTAATCCACATTTTCAAATGGATCATGTCTTCTTGTGCAGAGCAAGAGACAAGCGAACGCCACGCTTTTTGTATGCCCTGTGCTGCCTAGGACACAAAAACCGCCACAATTTGCGGACGTGTAAACGCGGGATAACACGCTCATGATTCTTGCACATTTTTTCTGCACTCAAATCCTGTTTCTTGGCAACTCGTATGCTTACTGTAGCTTCTTCTAATGTTATCGACATCCTTACCAACCCCAGCCTCACTCTGATTCGCACCCTTTTTTGGTATAGTTTCTGAACTCTGATGCATACCCATGAGGGTGAAGCATCCTGTACGCTCATCAAAGTTTCTTCTAACTATAGCTATGCGATCAACATCCTTACCAACACGAGCCTCGCACGAGTCCTTGTAACTTATGTAGACAGTTGCATTTATGGCATTGAGCCCCTCATTCAGAACTTGGATATCTATTGCCGCATTCACAATCTTCAACTCGGACAGATCAGGATCCATCTGGGTACTTAAATGTTTGGTGACTGCAAGTTCCAAGTATAGACGAATCCACTCATTGTCTTGCAGCTCTGAATCATTCAACTGCAAAAGCAAAACATCACACAACTAATTGTTGATAATGAGCAAAACAAAAAAAACTCGAGAGTGTCTTAAATCTTACCACGTAAAACCGCTTTCCATTGTCGAAAGGATCCTCTGTCGGCCACTCAGGCATGTTACCTGGGTAGCATAGACCCCCGTCGAACTTATTGAATTCCCCTATACAATATAAAAATCAGCAAGTGGAAGACAAAGAAATATTGCAACAAATAGCACAACAAGTCTGCATTTTTACCTTGGATCCTAGAAATATTGCACTTCAAAATAAAGGCGGCATGCCGATCTTCCTCAATTCTAATATGAAAAGTTTGGGGCAATGAGGTAGATGGATCCGTGGCAACCACAGTTATGAAGTAAGTGGAAGGAGCCAGAATCAATCTGTAATGGTATTTCTGTACGCAAACGAACTGATAGTTTTCACCCTAATTGACGTACACATCAAGAAAGACATTGATTAAGTAAGTAATTAATACTAGTATAGAATATAGATTATATAAAGAAAGAAGGAAGAAAGTACCTTAAGCAAATTGTAACGATGGAGGCCCATCTTAGCATAAAGCTCGACTAATCTACAACAAGGAGACCGATCATTACAGATCACTTCCTTCAGTCTATACGAACCGTATACGACCGTACCATTGGTAACGAACGGCTATATAAGACCCATTTATACAAAATAATCAGATATATTAGTCCATCAAAATTTTAAGTTCACATCAATAAAAAATAAGGAACCCTAGAAGCAGAGGAGTGTGACAAAAAAACTCGAATCAAAGGAACACTAGCCGTGACCAACAAATCCAGAAAGAAGGAACCTCTAGACTAGAGAAGCAGATGAGGATTGTGACAAATTCGACCGAAATTAAAGGAACACTCATGACCAACCAAAACCCGTTCATGGTTAAAAAAAGAATGATGGAAGAATTTACACTAGGCATAATTTCTTCCGAACGCTTCTTCTCCCTACTCGTCCTCAAGGTTCTTGCTGTTCGAATTTTCGGCGTCATTAGAGCGGCTTTTTGGTCGATTTAGGTTTGTCCACGCGATTATATACCCTTATCCATCCGGCCAACTCATTTCTGGGCTTCAATTGGGCCTTCACAACCCATAAATCTCTCTTTTTGTTTATTAACTTTTTGATATCGAATAACAAGTGATTTTTTAATTCACGTTTTAAATTTATAAATAGATTTCGAAAAAATTCATTCACCTTACTACACTAGTACCTTTTTGGCATTTTAAGATAAAGAATCATTTGTGTTCAGTTTAAATTTTTGTCATAATTCAGCTATTATGTTATTCAGTTGTTCATCTTACTTTGTACTAGTCAAAAAACCTGAATATAATGCTTTTAATTGATTGAACCGATCTATATGAACCGAATGAGGTTATAATACGAAATTATCAACATATTTGGGGTGTAGCGTACTTTTAATAAATCATAATTTTGTAAGGTTCAATGATCTTTTATCTTTAGTAGTTTTAACATGTTACGAGAGGTAAAAATTGAATGTGAATTTCTTGAATACTATATGATATTGACATCGCTCGTATATGGTGTTTATAAATGTTCTCACAATTCCAATGTACGACATAGACAACCAAACACGCTAATAAGTTTAATTCTGTGTCAAAGAATACATAGCACGTCGAAAGAATAGGTTCCAAGAGCATCTCGAAGCATTCCCTTGTCAATGTCTTGCTCTGTAACAAGTGTGACCACTGTCAACCTTACATAACATTCAATTGAGTTTCAGAGATACAAAAGCACAATCATTTACCTGTAACTTCTCTCCAAGTATCAGAGTCACCCATCTCTTGATTTCCCCTGCTGTTCCACTCCTCTCATTGAATCTATCAGTCTCTCTGACCTTGAGCCTGAGACTAGTGTTATTGAAGATAGTAGCAGCTTTAACATGACAAACTTTTGATTGATTTAAATCTGTGACTACTGACTACTAAGCAAAATTGGTGGTGTTTGGTACTTTTTGTATAAGTTTTTAAGTAGTGGGCGATACATAAAATTGCTTAATGCTCATTACAAGCTGCTGCACGCGCTTCCACGCGCCGTCGTCAATTTGTATCTCTGTGGTCAGTCTCCCTCTCAGACATTGTCCGTATAAAGTTTTTCCCTTTTTCTCTCAGAATTGCTCTTTGGCTAAGAATCAAATGGAACAGCCTGTGATAGCTCATCCTCGAGCTCTCACCGATAAGATAACCCTAATTCGTGACGCGGGTCCTTCCAAATTCCAGGTCTTTCCCACTCCTATCTCCGAATCTATGTCCAAGTTTTGTTCTCAAAGATTAAAACTTTGTGTTGTTTTGTTTGTAAAGGTAATTGCAGATTTCGATGCGACATTAACGAAATACCGAGTCAGTGGACTTCGAGGGCAGAGTATGTTCATACACATTTGATCAATTGTAATCTTCTCTTCTCACTAACCAAATTCAAGTAAAGCTGAAACCTTTATATAGCCAGTCATGGCCTCTTGCAGCAAGGAAACGCATATTACGATGCTAAGAGGCAAGCATTATATGATCACTATCATCCTCTTGAGATTTCTCCTGTTATTCCCATTGATGAGAAAACCAAACTCATGGAAGTGGTATACTCTTCTCTTCTTATCAATCGCATTTGGCCTGTCTTTTGATACTCTTATTTGGACAAACAAGTGATAAACTTTTTGTTGTTGTCAATGATGAGGTGGAGTAAAACTCATGAGCTTCTCATTGAGGGAGGTTTAACATATGAGGCAATCAAGAAATCTGTTGCGAATTCCTCCATAGCTTTTAGAGAAGGTGTGACTGAGCTTTTTGAATTTTTGGAGGTAAAAAGGAATGCAATCATGTTTTGCTGAGTTATACTCTAATGGTGAAAGACATAGCCATTAGTATCTTAATCGACCTTATTTGCAATATTTTTCAGAAAAAGGAGATCCCAGTTCTGATTTTTTCAGCAGGACTTGCTGATGTCATTGAAGAGGTGACTCTAAAGAGTATTAGTTAATTAGAGTTACTCTCCTACTTCTGCTGCCTCTATAATGACTTCTGCTGCCTCTATAATGAACATTTCACTTTCTTACCAGGTTTTGAGGCAGAACCTTGGTAGAACTTTCAAGAATGTTAAGATTGTATCTAACTGGATGGTGTTCAATGATGATGGACAGCTCGTGTCTTTCAAAGGTATATTTGGTTGGTGTTTCATCATTCATTTAAGCGCATTCATCAACTCACATTTGTGATTTTTCCTCTGGAAAACTGAAATCTCTCCCGGAAAGTATCAAGCATTTGATTTATGTCTTGCTATTATAAACTAGTGTCTTTACCTTTCATAATACAGGAAAGCTAATTCACGTGCTAAACAAAAACGAACACGCTTTAGACATGGCTGCTCCACTTCATGATCGACTTGGTGTTGACATTGGTGAGGAAGATGAAGAAAATGTAAACATGAAAGAGCGAAGGAACGTTTTGCTTATGGGAGATCATTTGGGGGATTTAAGGATGTCTGATGGACTGGATTATGAAACTCGGATATCTATTGGGTTTCTGTGAGTTTTTCTCTTCTTCTATTTTGCCTCCTCTCTGTTTCGGTCTCCTCATAACTACTAATCTTATTTCTACAGGAACGATAACATTGAGAAGAGTCTTGAAAGCTACCGCGAGTCATTTGATCTTGTTTATGTTGTAAGTTCCATACGCAATTTATAGATGATCTTTCACAACCTGGAAATTGCTAATAAAAGTTTTTATGTTTTGTGGGTCTAAAAACAGAATGATGCACCTATGTGGGGAGCTCTGGAACTTGTTTCTCGGTTATTCTCAACAGAAGCGAGGTAGCTGCCAATGCCTCTGCGGAGCTGCTTTAAGTGCAAGACTATTTCTTTCAGTTGATGAAAACTATATTGCAAGTAGAATTCATGTGTATTGCTTTAGATTATAAAATATACTATATTGATGAAAACTGTACTCACTGCTTTAATAGATTTCAAGGGAACCCTAGAAAGAATCTCCTCTTTCAAATCCTTTGGAAGATTGGAAATCGTCGTCGTCATTGTTTCAACCTTCAAAACCTTTTTTTCTGTTCTTCTGATTTCTTGCGGTGAAGGGAAAGTGTACACATAGATACAAAAAGAAAAAAAAAATGAAGCTGGGCCAATAGTGGGCTTTTAAATCTAGTTGGGCTTTGAATGAATTTATATACCGACAAGATCATGTAACCAACAGTAAGATTTACAATCTGTACAATGAAAATGATGAGACTAATAATAAGAAGAGCAAGAACTAATTTTTGTTGTATAAAAGATATGCAAAAAGTTACAACTTTTTTAGAGTCAAAAGTCAAAACTTTTAAACTTGCTTATAAAAACTCCTCTGAAAAAAGTAGAAGAGACCCAACAAAACGGTCATTTCATGGTTTGATAGTATTAACTTAGTTACAACCAAAGCTAATAAAAATTTAAGTTTGTACCATTTTATTAAAGGAAATAAAAAGGATACTAGTAATAACCAAATAATCTCTTATGTTAACATGTACAATATTTGCCGGGCATCGAGTCTCAACCTCTCTGCAGAGTCTCAACCTGGATCTCTGCCAAATCAATGTTTGACTTCTTGATTTTTTATATATATTTTTTTCATTCCCATTATTTAACTTGATTTGAGTAGAATTAAACCACAATTTGTGCTGAATTTTTCATGATTCAAATTGAGTAATATAATAGGGTGTAAAATTAGTTCAAATTTACAAGTAAAAAACCTTATATGAAGTATTATTTACAGCAAACATTCGTGAATGTATTATATATATATATATATATATATATGTCATAAATGACATATAGTTTAAATAAGCTAAAATAACATATAATCAAAGACTGTGCTTCAAACAAATGGTACAGCTGTCGAAATGTGAATGAATGTCTTTTCATATGTAAGCTTGGTGACTCATCTTCTCTGTCTTCAATGTAATTGTTGAGTTTTACAAAAACTATTTCATGATGATTGTCGGACTTTCGTTTCCACTGACCTGGTAAGTGCATCCCGTGTATTACATGGTTGGGAAGAAAAGTATGACCGGCTGTGTACGAGATATCTTTTGCAAAAGGTCAATCCACACAAGTATGTAGATGCTAAAACGCTACGTGATGGTCAGGCTCATCAGTGTTATCCTGGGGATTTGGAAGAAGCATTAATTTATATAAAGAAGTTTGGTATCCCTAGAGAACGATTGGATATAAACGGGCAGAGACCTTCATGTACTACAAAGTGGTTACCTATTCCAGACGAAGAAATGTTCAACACCACAGCCATCTATAGGTATCAAACCTTCAAACAGGCATTAAAGGGTCTTCGAACACACCCGGTTGGAGCGACTTTAGTCGCATATGAGGGTCTATTTGACTCCGATAACATCTATCGTGGACCCTTTGGAAAGAACGCAATATTCCAAGATTATCATGGGGTGATCATATATGATTATAGGAAAATCAACGGTGAGGTGGTTGCGTTCTGCAAAAGCAGTAGCGGTGATCGTATTAGTTTAGAGGGAGACAAAGGGTATATTATGACATGTTTTTAGTATGGTAGTTTGTCCATTTAGGTCGTTCAATATCTGTACATGACTTACATCAGAAATCTCAAAATTTATAATTGAAAATATAATAATATACAATATTAATAGTATTAGACTGAATATTTTAAAACACTCATTGTATGTTTATGAAAAATATGTATGAATTTGTTTTGAAAAAGTATAGTTTTTCTTAGATTGAACCTCATATGTATTGTATATGAGAAGATGATTGCTTGGATGACTCTCACCTAATATATTATCTTCATATGAATTGATAACACAAATTACGTTCAGTTGAGATGAAAAATTATCAAATAGTTGCAAAAAAATTTGTCGGATGTATATTCATTATCTCATGGTCTGGTAGTTTTTTGGGTATGCCAAACTTTTGAATGTAAGTTAAAAATTTTGGTATTCCAAAAAAAATATCAGGCTACAAATAACATACAATTGTTCTAGTTGACGGTTATCATGGAATCATCATGCAAGTCACATACACAATTTGTGGATGATCTAAACAGTGCCGGCGTTTGGGGTGTGCAAGTGGAGCAATTGTACCGGGTCCAACTTTTTTGGGTAAATTTAAGGGCCTAAATTTTTTTTCGTATAGAAAAAAATGTAATTTTTAAAACTTTAAAATATCTTTATTATAAAAAAACCTAAATATTTTATTTAGTATGAAAGTGATTAATTTTTAAGTTTTTTTAACATGAAAAAAGCCCAATTTTTTTTTTTCGTATGAAAAAGGCCAATTTTTAAAATTTGTACCGGGACTCAAAATTAATTGAGCCGGCCCTGTGTTCATTGAAGCTTCTCAATTTGTCCACATCAGCAAGTTTAAAAACAATCTCTCCTCACGCCACATCAGCATCGCCAAAAAAATTCTTTAAGAAAAAACGTTTACCCACAATAATAAGAAGCCCACTCTTAAACAAAAAAAGCCTAACGATAAGAAGCCCATATACTGAACACGTAACATAAAAGCGTAATAATTTCGTAGCCACCCTATTAGGGCTGGGCTTTTAAACCGAACCGAATATACCGAACCGAAACCGAAGCAAAAAAAAACGAACCGAACCATACCGAAAATTTGAAAATAACCGAATGGATACTAAATTTGATAACCGAAATAACCGTAACCAAATCGGTACCGAACCGAAATATTTCGGGTAACCGAAATACCCAAAATACAATTATATTTTTGAAATAATTAGTTATTTATATACCAAATAATCAAAAATACTTGAAAAATCTATAAAAATAGTAAAAATACTCAAAAATAACCGAAAAATATCCAAAAATATTCGAAAATACTCAAAAATAACCGAAATATCCGAAAATATCCTAAGCAAAATAACCGAATGGATACTAAATTTTAAAACCGAAAGAACCGGAACCAAACCAAAACCGAACTGAAATTTCAAAATATCCGAATGGATACTAAATTTTAGAACCGAAAGAACCAAAAACCGAATGGACCCAACCGATAACCGAACGGATAACCGAAAGCCCAGGCCTACACCCTATATCAATTAGCCCATTAAAACCTAAAATCAGTTCACAAAAAAAAAAAAAAAAAAAACAAAAGTCATCCTTCCTCATCATCTCCGACCATCTTCTCTATCCTCTCAAACTGAATCGATTCAGTTTTCTCCAAAAATTGAATACGCCACCGTTATCAAATCGCCACTTCGTCATCTTCACTCCCCTATTTATTCATATCAATTAACATCGAACGAAATCAATGACCACTACTGTCAAAATCATAGCTTCTTGCGGAAATTAACCCTATAAAACCTCAGATCACCAAGCATACAAACAAACCAAAACGCTCAAACACTCACTACAGTCAAAACAGCCGTCACCCCAGCCACCTTTCAAATTGTGGATGAAATTGATGGAGATTTATGTTTGGAAGAATTAGTCTAAGTCCGACTAATTCTTGAACTACTTCTCATCAACTCCCAGGTACGCATATTATATGCTCTATATACACAACCAACACGAGTACGAACTAATCATTTAGCCTACTGTCAAACGCAGTGCAAGGATTTATATCTGCTGCAAATCGGCTTTGAAGCGTATCTCAAGCTCAATAGTTTTATAAGAAACTATTCTACTTCCTACTTGGCTACTCCTCTTCCTCAGAACTTTCCATCGCCTTATTTTCCCAGTTACACAAATCTACGTTCTAAATCATGGTTCTACACACTTAATTTGTTCAACATTTGCAGGTTTTGAGACTGCAACTGTAGCTTCCTACTCAAGTTCGTAGAGTTAAACAAGAGTATCAAAAGCTTCATGAATTTTTATTACTTATTTATTTGATCTGTTTGTCATTTGAAGATCCATTGGAATTTTTGTGGCATCTTCTACTACTATTAGTCATGTTAGCTCTAATGTTTGTTCGATCGTAGTATTCAATAGAATTATTATGCGTCTCGAGCTTCTGTGATAGTTTGATTGTTTAGTCACCTGCTGTCCAGCTCTTCAATTCAAATTTAATGTTTGCGTAGTAGCCACATGGTTCATGGTAAAAGTGTTAACAACTAATTAAATAATGTGTAGTTCTAAATACAGAAGCACCCAAGAGTAAAAAGATTAAAGAATTTATTAGATTTGAATTGTAATTCTTCATATCGTAAAATTATGATAAATTATAAACAATGATTTGTTCCACTTCTTGGTGGTTTGTGATTTGAGATTAGATTCCAAAATGGTGAAGCAATCATTAAGAAATAGTTGAAAGCAAATAAGTAATAACAAAAGATGTAAATGAGTTATTGGCAAAAAAAAAAAAAAAGATGTACATGAGCAAGTAGATTTTCGACATATATAGTCCAAGGATGCACATCTATCTCTATATTGTATATTGTACTCTTCAATTTATGTAGCATCTCATGATGTGTTTGAGATTGCAATTATATTTGTATCCCCACAAATTTGAATGAATGAAAGAAAAGTTTTCAATAAAAAATCTATAGTCCAAGGATGTTAATAGTTTAATTGTTCAGTGTGCATCCCACTTTAAGATTTAATACAATTTTTATAACTACAAAAAGTTGGAAAAGAATACATTATTAAAATGAAAAATAAAGTATAAAAGGAACTACACTAATAGAAATGGTTAACGAAACAAAAATTAGAAACAACTACAAATAAATTATGAGGATATAGATGAGAAAAATAATATATAGACTAATAATACTATAATAGTAAGAAAAAAGAAACAATTTGTACTTATAAATTAAGATGAAAAAATTATAGATAAATATAATTAAACATTAATAGTATCATATAGGTTATTTTAATTGAAATGTTATGTCCAATATCATATTATATTTTTAGTATGTATATACTAAAAACTAAACATGAATTTAAACCTGAAATAACTAATTTAGAAGATATCAATTATCAAATATATTTTTCGCTTTAAACAAAAAATAAAAATAATTCCGGGCGTAGCCCGGATTTTCCCCTA